CTCCAGGGATGGGGCCTCAACAACTTCCCTGGGCAACCTGTTCCAGTGCATCACCACCCTCAAAGTGAAAAATTTCTTCCTAATATCTAATCTGAATCTACTCTCTTCCAGTTTGAAGCCATTCCCCCTCATCCGATCACTACATGGCCCAGTAGAAGTCCCTCCCCAGCTTTCCTGTAGAACCCCTTTAAGTACTGGAAAGCTGCTATAAGGTCTTCCTGGAGCCTTCTCTTCTCCAGGCTGAACAACCCCAGCTCTCTCAGCCTGTACCTCGCAGGAGAGGTGCTCCAGCCCTCTGATCATCTTTGTGGCCCTCCTCTGGACCTGCTCCAACAGGTCTTTGTCTTTCCTATGTTGGAGGCTCCAGAGCTGGATGCAGCACTCCAGGTGGGGTCTCACCAGAATAGAGTGGAGGGGAAGAATCACCTCCCTTTTTCCCCTTTGAATTCTGTAAATTACCAGCTCAACAGATGAAGAGGTCCCTAAAATGTGCACCCAACCTTGGGAAAGGCCGAAAGGCACCTTCCACCATGCTCTTTTAAGTCCACCAGCCCAGGCCGACGGGGAGCAGCTCCTGCCTCTGCCCCGGCCCCTGGGTACAGGGACAGGAGGGCAGCAAGGGGGACGAGGACAGGCAACACCAGGGCAGGGAAAGACAATACCCAAAGGTTGCTCCCAGGAGCTTGCCGTTCTGGTTTCACTCATTACACCGCTTCATGGCACTTCTTGTTGCTTACATCATAACAGCATGTAATATTCTGCCTCCAGTTGCAAACATGAAGGAAGTGAGTTGTGGGGGAAGACTCGAGAGCCCATAGCACTGGCTGAACGCTGCACTTTGGCTTGCTGGACTGAACCAGCAGTTCTCTGAGCACTCTGGCTGAATCTCCATAAAGGCATGTGCACTTGAAAAAACAGCACATACTAAATTCAGAAAACAAGATAAAGGCCAGCACTATAAAAAGGACATGGACCTGTTGGAATGGGTCCAGAGGAAGGCCACGAAGATGACCAGAGGCCTAGAGCACCCCTCCTATGAAGACAGGCTGAGAGAGTTGGGGTTCTTCAGCCTGGAGAAGAGAAGGCTCCAGGAAGACCTTGTAGCCACCTTTCAGTATCGGAAGGGGGCCTTTTACAAAGGCACATAGTGATGGGAGGAGGGGGAATGGCTTCAAACTAAAAGAGGGTAGATTTAGGTTAGATATTAGGAAGAAATTTTTTACAGTGAGAGTGGCAAGGCACTGGAACAGGTTGCCCAGGGAAGCTGTGGATGCCCCAGCCTTGCAGGTGGTCGAGGCCAGGCTGGACGGGGCGTTGAGCAACCTGGTTGAGTGGGAGGTGTCCCTGCCCATGGCAAGAGGGTTGGAACTTGATGATCTTTAAGGTCCTTTCCAACCTAAACCATTCTATGATTCTGCAATTATCTCCAACAACGTAACTATCCTGATGGTCAAAATCAAGTAATTTTATCTGGACTGGGGAAACCACTGAGACAACAGGTTTGTTCTGGCGGGTCCAACGAACAAGGGATTGGCTCTGCCCTACATTATTCAGTATTATGACCTACATTGGTTTGTTTCTTTAAATCAAGGTCTTAGTACGGACTGTACATTCTGCTTATTAGGCAGTGTATTGTAGACGCGGGTTAAGGTAATATTTAAAAAAAAAAGGCAATTTGCAGGTGGACTATCACCACATTATTTCAGATTACAAAGTTCAAGACAGCAAACTACAAGTCTAACATTACTAACAAAAAACCTGCTTCTGTGTTTATGTAGCAGAGTTTGAGGAGCACATCAACTAATATGCTTGCATTTCCACATTACCTCATCGCACTCATTAGACACGCTCATAACTTTACATTAACCCCAGGAAGGGCATATTAACATGCAAGGTTTGCAAAAGTACAGGTCTTTCAGTAAGAACAGAAGTCATGACAGCACAGGTTATGCAAAATATGTAGAGGATGAAATTAGGTGGGCCTTTTTAGGTTCCTCCAGCATGTATAGTTTGCATACTTCAACAAGCAAAATTATTCCAGTGCTTCTTAAGCAATCACACATTTGTATTCTCAAAGGTCTGAAACCATGAACAGCCTAGTTCAGCTGATGCTAACCTCCTGTAAATACGGCATCTTTGCCATAAGAAAATGGCTACATTAGCTTTCAAAATTGTTTGCAGTGGCCTCAGACAAATACATTTATGCAAATGCGCGCGCACACACACATATGAGTGTATATTTTCTAAAAAGCATTATAAAAAGATTCAAGTGACATCTAAAATTCACTTGAAGACCATGGTGGTTGGTGTAGGTACCTGGCAGTGTTCTAGGATCGTCTGCGCCTGATAAAATACTTCTGCATAAAGTGTTTTTTCTATTATGATCATTTCCTCCAGCAGCAGTATCATTAATGCAGCGAGAGCAACTCCAGGTGAACACCAGAACTATGAAATGTTCTGCAAGGATATCCATTTCACCAAAATCAACACATAAGAATCCTGTCTCAGAGGAGCCAAAAGGGCACGTGAAGGGCAAGTACACCGAACTTCGCACCCCCTGCTTTCACACACCGCCCCCCCTCCCGCCCCAGCACATTACCCTCCCATCCCAGCCGCCAACTGTGTTGCACTCAGCCGAGGCATTTATGTATTTAGCAATGAGTCTGTCTTGTCTGTCTTCCAGGAACTTGTCCCGTCTCCCCTTGACCCACAGAACACCATTCTCTGGCAGGAGTTCCCAGCTCCGCTCTCCCTCCTGTGAAGGACAGGGAAAGCAGCTGGCGAGGAGTGTGTATCCACAGGGGCTGATATTCTCCTCTTAACGCTGCATGAACCGGTCAGTGCTAAAACAGGTTAATACCCTCCAGTCTTCCACTCCAATCATATTGTCTTTCTGCAATTTTACAAAGTACTTCTGCATCTGAGCACCGTCAGCTAGAAACAGCTTACTATTTGATCATGAAACCCAGCTGAACCAAATACAAGCAAAACAGTTGTGTTTTTTTTTTTTAAATCCCAAGTAAACAGTCTGTATTCTAACACACAATAGGTCTGTACCAATTAAATACAGTATGGCAGTATATAAATTACAGTTCTTTACAGTAAATAGTAAAATACAAGAGTCCGCTTACTGTACACAACAATCAAAGAAAGAACAGCAGCTTTTCAGTAAGGTCCCAGGTATCTCAATCATTCACTTGCTAAGAAACAAAGAAGAACAGATACAGCAGGCCATTCACTTCACTCATTTTTAACCGTGTTACTTTACAAATATCCAGAACGCTTCTACAGGCATCTACAGTATCTACATGTGGAACAACCTTCTTAGGAATTCATGAGCACCAGACATAAATCCCTCCATCATTCCCATTATTAAAATAAACTTTACAGGTTAAAATTACTTTAGCAGGTTCTATTTCATCTTGATAATAACCAGCAAGTAACAAGTGCAAAGTTTGCAGTCACGATCCATTTACTGCTTCTTTGTTTCCCCACTTCCCCCCTACACCCAAAAAAAACAAACCCTCCCCAAAACCCCCAAAACGTTGTCCTCTCACACCCTTGCAGTAATACTGGTTCTGCAGTCAAACTGCCCGGCTGGCTTATGTTAACATATGAACTGCCAGACATATAGCTTCAGGCATTGTTAGTCATTTCAATCCAATGCCAGGTCAGCACAGTGGCAGGCCTCTAGGAAGACAAAATATACGAAGCAGTTGGATATTTCAGTGTGCTTAAACACAGAACGTAAGGCTGCACGGTGCCCAGTGACTAAAAGAAACATGGCACCAAGTTATCAGTTAAAACATTTACAATAGAAAGATATAAACAGCAAACGTGTCAGTCTAAAACAAGTTCTTTGGTAATTAAGAACAGCAAACTGTAGCTTTTTTTTTTCCCAAATATGGATTTACATCCTGTTTTTTCCACAATAAAATATTTTTTGTTGTTTAAAATATATCTCCCAAGTTGTTGCGTAACAAATCGTCCAGTACCTCAGTTATCTACAGATCAGCTTTAACTGTATTTTAGTGTGCAGCCATATCTGCTCACTGGCAGACAAACTATAGATACACATTCATATATATATATAATATATATATATTATTTATAAAAAATTAGAGAATTAAGTCAAGGACTCTAGAGAATACACATTCCGTATGGACAGATTAAAATGTACAATAGCTTCAAAAATCCATAAAGTTTTCTACACACCGATGCGTGTAGTAAGTGCAAAAATACTGCAGTTTAGTTAATCCAAGATTTCCTGTTTTCCTGTTTCCTCGAAAAAGCAGAAGCCGCTGCATCTCCTGAATGGCAGAGGACTTCTCCT